AACGTCACAGTGAACGCCACAACATCAGCCCAGCATCACGTGTCTCACTCATTCACTTTATGATTTGACATACGAGTAATTTGAGTTACAAGCTCCGTCACGGAATGAATTAAACTCGTAAGTCAAGGCCCCACTGTAGTTCTAGATGTAAGAGACCAAATGTACCTGGTTCACAGTTTTGCTTTTACCACTTAAAATCTCCACCTAAATGTCTTACAAACATCTGAAACCCATCAAGTCCAAATCTAAACTCATTATATTGTCTTAAAAATGTGCCCCTCGCCCTGTGTCCCAAATAGTACTGGTTTGGGGTACCTTCATTCTCCATATCACCCAAATCAGAATCATCTTTCTCACATTACACATCAGATTGGTGAAAACAATCTGCCAATTTTACCAACTTAACATTTCTCTAATTAAACTCTTTCTTCTTGCCTTCACAGTTGCTGCCCAAGTTCCTTAGGTAATCATCTCTCAGCTTTTTTGAACAGTTCATGACACATAGATAGTCAACAGACATTTGTAGAATGAATTTATAGATTAAATAATACAAGAATGAATGGAAAACTTGGACAACCGCTATCATCTTTTTCCAAGCCATACTGACTTCATTTTTTGTTGTTAATCCTCACCCACAAATATTTTTTTCCATTGATTTTTAGAGAGTGGGTGGAAGGAGGGGTGGGGGGGAAAGAGGGAGAGAGAGAGAGAGAGAGAGAGGTGAGAAAATTGGTTGCCTCCTGCATTTGCCCCATCTGGGCCAGGGATTGAACCTGCAACCCAGTATGTGCCCTTGACCGGGAATCGAACCCGAGATAGGCCAATACTCTAATTAGCAGGGCCAGTCAGGGCCATACTGACTTCATTTTACACCCTTTGATCCATTTACTGAACCAATGAAAGACAGATCTTTCCAAAATTTGTATCTGATTACAACATTCCTTTGATTACCACCATTCAATGACCATTACTGCCAGGATAAAGACCAGATTCCATGGCCAGCATCTGAGGCCATCCAAGTTCAAGTTCTCTACTCTCTTTTCTTGTCACTGCCCTTATCCTGAAAATACTTAACAGTATCTAGAATTACTAAATTGATTCACAATTCCATTTTTATGCCCAAGCTTGTTTTCTCTACCAGGATTGCTCATTTTCCCTTGCTTTTACCACTTGAAAATTAACTACTCATTTGTCAAAACAGTTCACTCCTCACTTCCTCTTTGAAGCCTGTACTTACCTTTCTGCCTTCATTTCTACTTCCCTCTCTTTTCCCTTGAGACTTTGTACTTACTTCTATAATAACTCAGATAATGTTGTTTCATACTTGTTTACAAATTTCGAGTCATTCCATTGTATAGTCATTTCGCTCCTTGAGATTGGAGGCCTTTGCCTTATTAATTGGGAATTAGCAAATAGTAGGCACTAACATGTTTACAGATGGATAAACGAATGAATGAATGAGTACATGGTGAAGTGTCATGAAAATATTTTAATCAAGGGAATGATATGATGAGGTTTTCATTTTAGGGAGAACATTGTGGTGTTAAAATAGAGCTGAAAGGCTGAGAACAGAAGCTAGATGATTAAGTAGGAGAATATCACATATAATCCAATGGAGAAACATTGAGAAACAACAAGAGCTAGTGGCAGTCATGAAGGAGAAAAGGGAACAGATTTGAAAAAATATTTGAAAAGTGAACACATAGAATTTAATGATCATTTGAATGGCCATTAGGAGCAAGTATGAGAAAAATGAAGGCATCAAGGATGACTTCCAGGTTCCTAGCTTGGGTGACTAGACTATTTTTCTAGTTTAAAATATCTATAAATTCCGATCCATTACATTACACCAGACAAAGATACACTGTACAAAGCGATGAATTACATGTATCTGCCACAGTTTCCCATGCTACTTCTGAAAACCACATTTGATGCACAAGTGCAAATCATGTGTTCCTCTACTACCACCATTATTTTTAAACTTTTCCTAAAAAGAGGGGGGATTAAAAATAGACAGACAACATTCAAAGAATTATGTCCCCTCATAGTTGAACAGCTTGTCTATTAAGCAAAGAACAGGTGAAGACAGAAAACACCAGGAAACATAGTTGTCTGGTAAATCTTAAAGAACAGTAAGGGAATGGACTTTCTAATCTCCACCAATTTATAAAGATTGGAAGCAAGTATCTGAAGTAAATCATCTCTTGTTCTTGCCAGCGATCTCATCAGGAGGCTAGGATATATATATACACATTACACCACATATTATACCATTAAAGATACCTTTATAATAATAATTTTTGCATAATTAATCATATTTTTTTTTATCTGAAATAGAACTTTAAACACACTTTTCTTGTTTCTTGGCAGTGAAAACTTGGGTCTACCAAGTGAATCCATCCCCGAAGTACCTCATTAATCACAGTGCCCTTGTTCTTGGCAAGAGCCTTAATGTGCTACAAAAACTGTTATTAAAGTAAGATTTGGGGATTCCCAGGCTGGCAGGGAATTAGTTAGTTACACCCCTCTAGAAATAATTTTCTTATAATTTCCTTTATTATTAATAGTCTTGTTAGACTCACAGCTCAAACTAACTTTCCTTTATTCATTTAACATCCAGCTATTCTAAAGCTCATTTAAAATCATAAGCAGCAATTGCCAAAGATGGCCTGTACCCCAGGGTTGGCTGTAGTTGCACAATCTCCTAGGAAATGACACTATTCATTGTGTTAATGTGGACCTAGCACCTCTATCTAAATGCTCAAGCATTATAATTTCAGACTCCAGAAATGTAAAATACAAAGCTTCACATTAGCATATTGTACTGAAAACTACATCATTTATTTCATATCTACTACTGAAGACATGGATAGACTGATTAAGCCTAGGGAACTGAGAATTATCCAAACTTGAACCTCTTGAAAAAATCATTTGTCAAAATTTAGAAATTCTGTAAGGCCATAGAAACCTGTTAAACATGAACATACTGGGGGTGGGTGGGGGGTGGGATGTTGTACCCATTTCAGGTTCAAGGGCAACACATAGGACATATAAAGTGTCAGCACCAACAAAGTTTGTCTCTAACCCTCTGGGAATATACAATGTATAATTTACCCCAAATTAAAGGCCACGAAAGGCATCATAATGTAAATTTCAAAGCTATAAATATTTTAAGCATACTCTTTTTTAAAAAAGTCATTATCCATACAGTATATATTTTGCTGCCAAATTGAGTGCAGATCATTATTGCTGAATGTTTTAGTAGATCCTGACAGGTCAAAATTATTTATCAGGCTCATTAGGTAATAGGATTAATTATATATCACCTTGGAGGGGGTGAACATAAAAAACACCAGTAATGTTTCTGTCTATCATTTATTAAAGTAACCACATCTAAATCGATGTGAATCTTACACAAGTGAATAATAAATGTTATGGCTTTTGATGTAATAATAATACAACACAACGATCTCCTTGTATACATTGTAAGATGGAAAGTTGGCTGGAATATTCTACCTAATGTTACATGTTCACATCAATCCGGGACTGTAAAATTTTCCAGACACCAGAGCCCCACAGATTGTAGACTCCACCAATTTCCTGACTCTTACGTGGTCAAATTCCAGGTTCACCTATTTACAAAACCAGCCCCTTCTTGCATGAGACTTCAAAAGAAATTTCAATCCGGGCCAATCCTCCATCCCAGGTGGAAGCTATGTTTGGATGGCAGGCCTCATTTCTAAAAGAAACCTCGTTCACGTTTTCAAAAAACGGATTTACTAGGAAACAAGGAAGTATCAGTGGCTGCAACTTTCTCTACTGGTCTCCTAAGGCTGACGTCTTTATATTTTATTTTAACATAAAAAGACAAGAAAAAAAGGAACTAAAAAGAGAGGAGAATAAGAAAAAGAAGAAAAAAGAATGAAAAGAGAGTAATGGCATAAAACTACCTTAAAATGTCCAGCTAAACCTAACTCTAACAGGAGACTGAATGAATGGACGTTGTGGGAAAAACAGTAGTAAACTTTAAAGCCACTGAAAGGTTTTAAATGCCTAAGGGAAAAATAAACATTTGCTTCCAATCATTTTCTCATTAAGCATTCTCTGCTAGATGGCGAAGGCTTACTTAGCACACACACACTTGGACTCAGCGCCACAAATGCCCACTTAACCCACTGGCTGATCCCTGTCCTGGGCGGCCCACTTGCGCGCCGGCTACTGCACTTCGGCCGGGGCTCCCGCGTCCCAGACTCCCCCGTGGCCTCCACCACTTTCTTGGGAGCATCACCGGGTCCGGCCCTGCTCGCCTCGTCTAGACCTGAGCCACCTCGGTGGCAGGAAGGGCTACAGGCACTGACAAATTTTCCGTTGGTGGTGGCTGAGGTGGTGGCGAGGCGTGTTTCCGGGCGCACTGAGAACCGAGCTGCTCTCCCCACAGAGCCGCAGCTTCCCCAGCCCCGCCCCCAGGACTCTCTCCACCCGACGTACCCCGCCGCCACCTCCTAACCTCGCCAGTCAACTCTCAACCAGCCTCCCTCGGGCACACGTTCTCCCTGGGCATTTCCCAGCTCCCAGGCGCCCCGCTCCGTGGGAGTTTATCCGGTGGAGTTTACGTCTCCCGGGACCTAATCGCTCCCAATTAACCGCGCGGCTCAGGTCCCACGTCCGCCTGGCTCCCGCCTTTGGTGCCTCAAGCTGCCCAACAGCTTATTGGGTGTGCGCGGAGACAGGGTTCGGTTCGGCGAGGCGGGAGAGGTGGGGCTGCGGGAGGTGGAAGGCTCTACGAGGAAGACCACAAACACGTGCAAAGAAATAAAAGCCACCACGTGTGCGCGCGAGCGTGAGTGTGTGTGAGTGTGTGTGTGTGTGTGTGTGTGTGTGTGTCTGCACGCGCGCGCACCGGGCCAGGGCGTGGGCGCGGAGCGCGTCCCAGGGGACCAGGCACACCAGCCCCCCGAGGCGGGCGTGGCAGGGGGCGCGCGTGGGGCGCGGGTACTCACACGAACGCGTGGTAGATGAACGCCCAGCCGCGGGGTCTCTCCAGCACGTTGTACAGGTAGTTCTGCACCCTCCGGTACTTGACGTTGCGCCGGCAGCTCTGGCTACTGGAGTACGAGAGCGGCTTCCCCAGCAGGCTCATCCGGGCCCCCTGCTTGCCCCGGCGGCTCTCTCTCAGGCCGCCGCCGCTGCCGCCGCCGCCGAGCGCGGCCGCGCGGGTGCCCAGCAGCAGCAGGCCGTCGCCCCTGGCGGCCGCCGAGTTCAGCAGCACCCTGCCCCGGCCCGACTCCACATCCTTCATGCCGCTGCCCAGGCGCCCCCCGCCCGCCGCCGCTGCCGCGCTGCTCTTCACCCAGAGCCCGGCGGCGCCGCCCTCCTCTCCTCCCGCGTGGTGGCGGGGCATGGCATCACCACGGGCACCGCGAGGGGGGCGCCAGCGCCTGCGGCGGGGGCAGCGGCCTCATGCGCGCGGGCGGGTTTCAAGGAGGAAGCCGCGGCGGACCTGGGCCCTCGGGCCCTCGACCTGGGGGTGGGGGGTGGGGGGCGGAAGGGAAGCCAGAAGCTTAGCAAACCGCCGGGGCTTCGGGACTGGGGTGCAAGGGGTGTGCGGAGGAGGAGTTGCAATTTCTAGCAGCCTTGAGCTTCGAATTCGCAATCCGGACCTGTTTGGGGCATCACTTGGAGGATTTCTCTCGCTCCCTGTGATTCCCGCGGCTACCACTCCCTCCTTCCGAAGTGTCCCCGAGGCTGGAACGGGTGGTGCGGGGCGCTCCGAGGCGCGCTCCCACGCGCGCACACCCAGCCCCAGGCTCCCCCTTTCTTCTCTCCCTCCACTTTCCACGCCCAGGCTGCGTCTGCCCCCTCCCCCGGAGGGGACGGGGCTGCAAAGCTGCCCTCGGAGGCGCAAGTTTGGTTTGGTCCCCTCTGGGGGTTGGAGCTGTCCGGGAGGTTAAGTCTGCCTCGTGCCCAGAGGAGAAACTGCAGCTGCAGGTCGCTGCTCTCTCCCGGCGCTACGCTGCTGCGCCAGGTCCTGCCATCCTTTTGCAAGGGGTGTGTGAGCGGGCCCGGCCCTGCCCTGCCCTTCAGGTACCAACCAGTCCCGAGCCGGCGCGCCCGGCTACGCTCCGGGCAGTGGCCGTCGGGTCCCGCACTGCTCTCCAGTCCTTGGCAGTTCAGTGCGGAACCCCACAAGGCATTACTGCCGAGAAGGAGAGCTGGGGACCGGCATCTCCCCGCGGCTCATTCCATCCCAGGATCCAGACAGCAAGCTCGCGAGTAAAACTCTCCATCCTTCCCAGCCCTGGGGTGGAGTATGGGGAGGGAGTGAAAACTCCAAAGTTGCCCCTCCGCGGGTGAACGGCTCGCCTGGGGGCTCTGCCTGACAGTGCCGCGAAGCACGCGAGAAAACACCCGGTCCCCTCCGTCAAGAAATTTCCATTTAAGTCCGAGGAAGTGTTAAAACTGCGAAGTCTCGCAGTGGCGGCGGCGGCCCCAGCCAGTGTCTGGGAGAAAATCCTGGAGGGTGGGGAGCCCAGGGCACGGGTGTCTTGGAGTCCCCACGCTACTCTAGCCTGCTGTGACTTACACGGCGAGGGGCGCGCGGGGAGTTAAGACTAGCCAGGTCTCTCACCGCCGCTGACACTCTGGTAGCCAAAGCCCGCGCCCTCGGCCAGGAGAGAGGCCACGGTGCCCCTGGCTGCATGCGGCTTCTGGCCTTCAGCAGTTCTGTATTAGAATAAAGTCTAAGCAGTAACACATCACAGTGGGCGTGGGGAAATTGAAAGGACCCAGGCTTGGGAACTTGTAGCAGAGGTGACCTCCCCTTCCCAACGCCCAGCCCCAGCATGAAAAGAAAATGATCATCACTAAGTTAAACTGAAGGAAAGAACTGAAGCCTCCACCACAAAACCATAGCACACAGTTGCACGCGCCTTATTTCTCCCAGAAGACTAAAACCCAGGCAAGGCTAAAGCAAACGTCTTATTTCTGCTGTCACCTCCCCTCGGAGATGCTCTCCCAATTCTCTCCTGTACACACACCCACCCACTCCCTCGGGACAGCTCCTTTCTGCCTCTGGCAGGAGTTCCATTTAACTGTTTTGCTTTTTATTGTTGCTGCTATTATTTTTCTGAAGCCTTGGTGCCGGCTCCTGGCCACTGGCAGGACCCTGCTTTCCTTCCCTCCTCTTCCCCAAGCCCGTCCATGGCAGGCACTAGCTCCAGGCAGCTGGCAAAGGTGCCACATGGCTGACTGTGCGCCAAGCACCAATACCCAAAATCACTCTCGCTTTCCCTTATTACCCTTCACACCCACGCGATGTGGAGGTGCAAGAGAGATTGCTCCATGCTCTGCTATTCCAGGCAGATGCGGAGAGCGCCCTGGAGCAAGCTCTCCGATCCTGTGGCTGCGCGAGGGCCCCGGCTTCTGGCTGGGGGGAGTTTGCTGTTGCTATATTTAGACTCCCGGCGGAGTTTCTGTACAGGGAGTTTCAGGGTGAAAGATCTAGAGACTTAAAATGACTCGCGTGCACTCTTTAAACTTGAAAATCTTGGCTTTTCTGCAGGCAGGAAAATGAAAACTATTTCCTCTTAACCAAGAGGTTTTTATTCTTGCAAACTTTGACCGCCGCCGCTGCCGCCGAAGTCAGACCACTTCCATCTCATTGGTGTGGTGGGGCCGGGCGAGCAGACAGGAAGTCTCTGGAAGGCGGGACGAGGATGTTTCCCCGGAAGAGAGCCAGCTGCTTAATTATCCGACGATGCCTGCCTGGTGGTGCAGCAATAATACCAGTGAAACCGTGTTGTTGATGAAACAAATGCAATTAAACTTTAAAAAAAAACCAGATCCGTAAGTGGGAAGGACCTTTGGGGTCATCTCTTTTGGAGTAACCCCTGGTTAGAGCGAAAGCCCAGAGGAGACTGGACCCAGCATCCACAGGTAGCTAGTAGGAGGGTTAGTATAAACCCAGCCATCATCCTCCCAGTTCTGTATGCCTTCCACTCATTGGTCGGTATCTCCATCAGAATATGTATGGGGGTGGGAAGAGATTAATCAAAGAACTTGTATGCATATATGAATAACCCATAGACACAGACAATAGTGTGGTGAAGGGCCTGGGCTGGGGAGGGCTGGAAGGGGTCAATGCGGGGGGGGGGGGGGGGGGGGGGGGGGGGAGGGGAAGGGGGAAGGGAAGTACAACTGTATAACTTTCAACAATAAAGATAAATTTAACCACCCCCACCACACACACACACACACACACACACACACACACACAGAGCAGATGGCTTTATTTAAGTGTGGCTGCATAGCCTCTCCTATCAGATTTCTCTGTAAGTATCTCACTTCCTTTAGTACCTGCTAACTTTCCTCCAAAGGCAGGAATTAACTGTGGGGGAAACAAAGTATTGTGATTAAGCTTTTTCTGTCGTGCCTTTGAATACAGATGTTGCTAGGAAACTGCCTTTCATTCTTTTTGCTGAAATATTAAAACCCAAATATCAGAAGAGAGGATGGGCATATTGGGCAAAGATTAAAACAATAGAGTGCATAGTCTGTGCATAAATAATTACATTAGAGCATTATAAAGAGGCACAAATCTTAAAAGACAACCACCTTTTTCAAAGACAAAAGTTTATTTCGAGTATAGATCATGTGAGTTGTTTGGCCCTCCCTCCTTTGGAGGTGGGTTTGATTTCAACCATTCATTCTCTACACATTGTAGGATGCCTGCCTGAAATTTGATCATGGAAACTTCTTTTCTCTGAAGTCTACATGGAGGTGGTTTCAGTTGAAAATAGTTACTAGAAATATTTTATTTCAGTGTGTTTCTGTCCCATCATACTTTTCTTCTCAAGGTACTCTAAAATAGTAACATTGCAAATTCTATACAAGAGGTAGAGATAACTACAAGAGACTTGAGTAACTGAATCTGAGCTGGTTTCACAAAATGCTCTTCCCCTCTCATTTTTTTCCTATGCCTCCCCATCTTCCCATTAGCCTTAGCCCTGTCACTTCACATAGCCTTCCATCAAGTCATGTTCTGATCAACCAGTGAGTAATACAATGCCACTTTTTTTTTTTTTTTTAGTGATGTGGGTGTACTTTGAGCCATTGTGGAATTCCTGGGCCAACCAGAGTGGTAATAATAGATAGATTCCTCAAAACTGAGGGCAAAAGGAAATTTACTGAGGAAGAAAGGAAATCCATTGTTGGCTGCTGTTCAATGACTTGCCTGAGGCTCTTGTTAGCCTTGTAGGCCTAGAGGTAGAACTGAAGTCTCCTTGCTCCTCAATAGAAAGCCCTTTAAGCTATGTCACCCTTTTCCTCAGCTTTTATTTCCCCTCTATCAAGTTATAACCAAACCAATAAGCATAACAAATTTAATTGCATTTGTTAGGTATCTTATTGTAACCATTGGTTCAGTAAACATATTTACCTCCTCTTTATTATTTAAAACATTTCAGCATTGTTTTAATCAATCAAGAATTCTTACCTGTAAGAGATATGATGCTATGTTTTTCAAGATGTTTCTCCAACAAGCAGAAAATAATCAGAGAACCCAGAGCAATATCAGAGGTCATTTGAGCCTGGTCAGAGGACATGAAGGTTCTAACACAGTAGGGATCCTAGCCCAGCCCCACACAGGGGCTGAGGCCTGGCTGGCCCTTTCAGAACAGCCTTTGCCCCAGGAATACAGGAAGAGCATAGGTGTGAGTATATGTAGATGTGAAGAGACACCGATAAAAGAGCAAGCAAACAGTGAGAGAAAGGGCCCAAAAGGTTTCACCATTTTCATTCCAGCAACTATCAAAACTGATGTTCCTAAGAGTTATTAATGTGCAGATCACCATTGTCAAAGCAAAATAATAGCACATTTTAGCATATGTTACTGTGCTTTAGGCACTGTGACTTACAAGAATTATTTCACTTGATTCTGACAATAGCCTCGTAAGTTAGACACTGCATTATTATCCAGTTTACAGAAAAAGAAACTGAACTGTGGACAAGTTAATCATGTCTCAAAATTAATAAGTATTTGAGCCAGGGCCCAAACTTATGGTATTTACGGGGGGGGGGGGGGGGAATGGAGATATCTGTAATAGTGTCAACAATAAAAACAAAGAAAAAATGAAACAAAGCCCACAGAAACAAACAAAAAAAATTTAACCACTAAATTATGTTAACATTTGAAATAAAAAGCTTACCAATTATTGGGTGTCAGTAATCTTGACAGTTTCTCTTTCCAAAAGAAACCATTCCTATTTGTGGTTTTAAAGCAGTCTTCGGGGTTTTATTCTAGATACAGAAATAGCCTCAATATTTCTCTTCACTTTTCTTGCAGAAATAAGGGCTTCCCTGCATAGGTACTTTTTTTGTATTGGTAATTGTAAAACAGTCACAAATCTTGCAGTATCAGTTTATTGAAATTGCACTTTGATCTTTTTCCTAACACTACCTTCAAGTTATATTCATAAAACCCTGTTTATTGTACTTGGCTGTACATGATTTCATTTTTCCTGACATGTTAGTATGACAGCACTGCTCTCTTTATTTCAGCCAATTACTTAAACACCTCTTCCTGGAAGTATTCTGAATACAGTTGTCTGATATTTTTAAGAGTCATATATTTAGAAATTCTCTAAAGAGGTTGATCCACAAAGAAAACATCTCCTTTGAGCTGGTGTAGTGGAAAATTCTGTTATAATTATGTGCCCTCTAGTGGTACTGACATTTTACCTTTTTATCTTTTTCCAAAGAGGAATTAAGAAAGCATCCTTTATAAATCTCCCCAAATCTTTTCATCTCTTCAACATGCAATCATTAATCATCAGGTGCTGTGCTAGCTGGAGTGGGTGCAGACATGGAAAACAGCCTGATAATTATCATGTTCATGGACCAGTGGGGGAGATCAGTAAAGGGGCAAGTAATTATAGCGAGCTGATGAGTTCACAGGGATTCACAGAGGGATGTTATGGG